TGGACCTTTGCTACCTGTAATAATACCAGTGGCCTCATTTGCTGTATCATTACGATTTGGCTTCTTATGTTAATAAGTTTGAAAAAGTAAAGGATTAAAGCTGGTGTTCTAGAAGTTGCCCTTCACTGGTTGTGTAAATAAAAATGTAGAATGACACTTCTGACTGAAGTTAGTGTGGTTTTCATAACTGTGCACTACAACAGAACTGTAATCACAGTTAAGTTAGAATGTAATCCCAGGACAATTTTAAGCAAATAGCCCACAGTACTGCCTGTGAAATAGTGAAGGAGGGCATTTCTGTATTCCATGACTTTTTTGGGGGTTAAGAATGGGTTTATATGATTTCTCATTTTTGTAGTTTTTATTTATTCTATCAGTCTTTAACAAATGTTTATTGCTGCAATTTTTCAGTGTATCATTGTTTTACTGCCCTTGTAGTACTGGAATTTAGTTGGAAGAATAAAACATTTACTTCTAATCTGTTTGTTTTTAATATGCAGGTGGAACTTTTGCTGTGTATGAATAAACTTAAATCTGAGTGTTTAAATGAAAACTTTATTTACTAGCAATAGTGGGTGGGTCAGTTTTAGACCAGGAGAAGGAGGTGGATTAAAATCTCAGGTCATTCTTCAGAGGCAGAGAAATCTTCCTTAGATCATCTGTATTTTGTGTTGAGGAAGCATGTTTGGTACAGAATGGACACAAAACTGGTGATGTAACTTGCTGCAGATGACTCAAACAGCAGCTGCACTTGCCTTCCTTCAGATTTCAGTGACACATTAAAGGAAATGTGTTCATGAGATAGAGCAGTAGCATGTACTGTAAGCTGGAACAGCGTAGGTATTGCAAGAGCTGGAGGTGTGTAATGCCTGTTAAAGGTTGAGAGCCTTGTTGGATGCATTCAGCTGTTGACAGACTGCTGTGTCGGTGCTGGCTGCTGCTGTCTGGGCACTGCTGGGTCTCTGAATCACTGCCACGTTCCCACATGGCAAGTCCAGATCTGTGTGTTGCTATAAAGGCCTTCAGTTACCTGCTCTGGGGACAAGAAAGCAGTTTCAAAGTAATCGTTTGATTATCAACTGCTCTCTTCTGTAACTTACTGTCAGCTTCTGGTTAAAGGAAGTCTGCTCTGTGATAGATCTCTGTCCCATCTCAGATTAACAGAGGAGTTTGAGTTGAAGGTGGTAGATGAACTTGGTAATTGGCTCATGCTTACTTATGGTATCAGAGAAGCCTTTTGATGAGTTCTGCTTCTTGGTGAACTCTTTCACTTAGGAGTGAGATTGAAGGTTCAGAATTGGACACATTGCCCCATAGTATCAGTATTTTTTGCTTGCTGTCCTGAAACCTATGTTGCCTAAATACTTGGATTATTTCTGCTTTATTTTCAGAATCCCAGAAATGAGAAATCTCTGCTAGACTCTCCTCTCAGGTCTTCTGTCACTGAAGATAATACTGTCAAGGGCTGTAATTTCTGTTGTCTGTCTTGAAGTCTTTAGTCCCTCTCCTTCCTGCTCCTCACTTTTTGACCTCCTTCTCTAAGTTGCCCAGGCTAGGAAAATCACTGCTTCTAAGTGGACCACCATGCAAATTCTGGCATCCTCATACATCTCATGTATTTCCTGTGTTTTTATCTTTTCCTTTGGGATATTACAATTTATAAATAAGTGATGTCATGCTAGCTTCCAGCCACTCCTGTACTGCTCCAAATTGATGCATAATAAGCAGTCTTGTGGCAGATGAAAAGCATGGCACCATGGGTGCTGATGTATAACAGCTGTGGAATGCTTAAGTTGTGCCTGTTTTGGAAATGAGGTTGCATTCTTTGGAATTTTTCATTTTTTAACCTGCTGCTTGTTCTGTCTTGGACTTCAAACTGGCTCCTTTTCCTAATCTCAGTGCCAGTATCTGGTGTGATGAATCACACATGAAAGGCTTGTTCTAAGAGACATACTCTTCAGTAGGAAAATGACTGGCAGCTTGATGGCTGTTGAAAAAATTAGGGAAATTCGGGTACTGTGAAGAGCTGACTGGTGCTTGAAAACAAACCTGCTTTGCAGAGCCTTTTCAAAGGCTTTTGAGTTGAGAAATAGATACAGTTCAGTAACTACACAGTTCTTGGCACTACACTTTATGGTGGCCATGTGTAGAATATTTTTACCACTTGTGTGTAACTGCAAAAAAAAAGCCAAGCAGGCTGAGAACAGTTAATTGGAATTTAACAGAGTGAAACCAGAGGTCTTGGTTAACCTGTTCTTAAGGTAGTGATGTATTTATTTCTTTCCAAGCAGATCTCAGTTACTGTGTACTTGAGAAGCAGCATGTACATCCCATGTGTTGATTTTTGATTCTAGATGTGAGAGCAATATGACTGAGCGTTTTTCAAGGTTGCAAAGGAAGGAGATGCAAGCAATCTTGTGTGCTGGTATTTGAGATTTGCCTCTTGAACAGTATGACCAGTTGCAGTTTCTGCTTTAAAAAATTGCTTTATGAAAGCTCTCTTTGTTGCCCAGTGGGGAATTGGGAAGGATTTAAGCTTTCGGATTCCACAGTGGGGAGAAAAAATGAAGGCTGGTAAAGTATTAAGAGTTTGTGCTCATGTTAACCAGTGCTTGTGACTTTTGTATTAGAAGTCATTCTCAGTGATGAAATGGCTTTTACAGGCACCTGGACTGTTCTTATAGTTTATTGCTGTTGTAGGCTTCAAGAAGTTATAAAGTTTGTGTTTTAAACCAGTAGTGCAGTAGTGTAAAGAGGTGTCAAAGAACAGCATCTGTAACAGTAGAGAAAAAGGATTGGAATGGTTATTTCAATGAGTGTTAACTTCCATTCAGGTCTAATTTTTGGCAGTTCTGTTGAAAGATGTGGTTACCTAAGAATATGATACAGTTAGTTCAGAGGTGAGGCTTTACACTGGAGTTTCAGAACTACTACAGACATTAGCACTTTAGTGATTTTTTTGTCCTGTTTTTTTTAAGCGAGCATTGCAGACAGTGAAAGTTTTCTGGAATATCTGCAAAACATGTTATTACTATGCAGACAGTTGTAGAAACTAATTTTTAATTTTCTAGTTGAATTCTCTATTTCAGCTAAGGTATGTGAGTGAGGGTGTCTCAGCTCTTACTGACGTTGGTTCCAGATTCAGTGATGTTAAGCTTTTTCCAGGAAGGTAGGACTGATTGCAAAGTCCAGTTTCTGAAGAAAGAAAGGTGAACTAAATTAAATTTATGACCAGTTTAGTTTGTATTTTTAACTGTTCAACCTTCTTACCCTCCTTTCTGAAGAAAATGAAGCACCAAGTACAGAATTAAAGATTTGATCTGAGAAAACCCTATGTAGCACAGCAAATGTGACTTTAACCATACAGATTTGTTATTAGTTAAAGGGAATAAACAGCCATTAACTATTAATTTTACTGTTTTAATGTCATGTTGCCTGCACATTTGGGGATTAAAGGCCACACACTGTTGAGGCTGGTTTCTCTTTATTTCGGAATATTTCACCCTCCAGGGATGTGAAAGTAATCTGGGGTGAGGTTAGCGGAGGGGGATGGCAGGGGACAGCTACACACCAAAGCACTTGGCTCCCTGTCCTCTTGCACATCAGAGACATTTGGTGCTGCTCCCTTTCATTTGTCAAGTGTGTTTGTGAGATAAATGGGGTGAGGTTCAGGATGGGGGAGTGTTCAGCCTGCCCCTCTGCTGAAATGTCTTGTTTTCCTCTCTGCTGCTGGAAAGCTCTCTGTATACACTACTGAACAGGTCCCTGAGCCTGCTCACCAGGGAACAGGAATTTTTCACCTGTGTCTTGGAACTTCAGCAAGTGCTCCACTGCCATCCTAAAAATTCATGCTCTTGAGGTTTTAGTCATTGTTTCCCAAGTTGTATGTTCTGGCAATAGAGTCTGATAAGCTCCTCCTCCTCCCCCTCCTGAACTGGCTGGCAGCATTTAGAACCAGACCTCCACTTACACACGGCAGGACGTGTTGCTGTGACTCTGCAATTTCTGCAGTTGGAAAATACACAACTCCTACCATCTCTGAGCATATTTATAACAAGCCTGACATCTCTTGTATATGTTCCTGGGGAAACAGCTGGCTAAGTTACTGATTCTCTTAACAGGACTTCCCCTCCCCAGTACAGATCTGGTTTATGGAAGTGATTCTGTCCTCAGAGCTCCAGGCTGAAGTGCCAGTGCAGTTGAGTAGGAGCATCTGGAGTCTATTGATGGCTGAACTAGGGACCAATTCAATGCCTCAGAATGAAAATGAAGCCTCTAATCCCTTCTCAGTCAGCTGAGGGTGTCAAAGTTCTTTGGAGGTAGTCTTTTACAATAATTACCACTCTGCAGTTGTCTGGGAGGAACACCTCTCTTAACAGCAGCCCTTTCTAGGTGGTCAGGCTGCCCTGAAGTTCCTGCCCTTACAAAACTCCAGTGCACCTGTCAGAGCCCTTGACAGGGTTTGTCAAAGCATGGCAGACACACTGCTCTGGAGGGCAATGCAGCTTTTCCCTTTGGTTCCTAAGGCTTTTCCCGTGGTTGAAGAACAGGGCACAGACGCTGCCATAAACACATCTGCTCCTCAAACGGAGTCAAGGGAAAAGGTTGGTCTGAGAAGGCTTTCTGAAGATGATCAGCAGATGAGCAGTGCTGGTACACACTCAGCCTACACTGCCCTTCACACAGTTGTTCCTTTGCCTGCACGCAGCACAAACCCTCAGCAAAGAGGGAGGTTACATACAACGTGCTTTAGGTGATTTTCCACCTGAGTGCACAAAGTGCCATGTTCTCAGTCTGTGCTGGCACAAGCTTCCCCAAACAGCAGAAGTCAGCTAGCAGTCATCAACTTCACTAGAAAAAGGAAATTATTTAAATAGTTCACTTTTGGACTTGCCAAAGGGCAAAACTTAAGTTTCTTCGCAATTATTCTCTCCTCTTCTCTTTCCCAAGGAGTTTTTAGGGCATTAAGACCAGTTTGGAAGAACACACTGCAGAGGCTGTGGAAGTTCATTGTCTTCTTTAGCATACTTGTTTTATTTATTTTTAAATCTAGTTCAAGGATCGAGGAGGCATTTTATAATAATGACTCAAATCCCACCAGCTTATAAGGATGTTAATAATACTGTTTCATCACTTTTGTGGCTGACAGAGCCAGTGTTGTCCTTTTGGCTTGCTAGCCTGAGTTTTATCAGTGGACTGTTAAATATCACAGCAAAGAAGATTGAAACTGACACAACAATACAGTATTTGGAACATGAACATTGGTAAAGCAGAACATTACACAGGGAAGATGAGCATTAAAAAATAACATCCCTATTCAAGCCTGTCCAGGCACTCACAATGTATCTCACAACATTCAGGCACTGCTGACTTTGACTCAGTATGCAAAGTTAGTGAGGAATGGTGTAGTGGGAACACAGCCCTTGCTCTGTCGGGAAGGTTTATTGGCACCTTGGTGGCACATTAACAGCCTCCCCATGTCAGCCTTGCCACGTGGTCAGTTTTCTGCTTGCTGGGCTTTATGAAGCCCAGGAGCTCCAGTTCAGAAACAGCTCGAATAAAGCGAGCGCTGGACATGTCAGTGAAGGAAAGAAACCAAGGACACTTTTTATGGCACAGTGACAGACACACTGTTCTCTTCTAGGAGAGAAGGCAAGACTTCTAAGTCACGGTAAGCACAGATTACACAACATGTTGCACAATAAAATTGTTGGAAATAAGGGCAGAGCACAAGCTGCCTACAGAAACACAAATCTTCAATCTGATCAGTAGTTCTGCCATATGCATATGATGTGACAGCAAAGGAAGAGTTCCCACTGCCAAGAAAAGCTTAAAGCCTACAAACATACCAATTTTGTAGTGTCTCAGAAGAATTTATACTTTTACGTCCCTTGACAAAAAAATTGATAGATAATTACAGAGATTTTTTTTCTTCTCCTTACTTTTTATTCACTCTGCCTTTGTTGCTGCCTGACATATTCTCAAGTTAGAGAATTTAATTTATTGTGAGTGACAATTAACAGTAGAGCTTGTAAAAAAGGAAAGGCCAGGAATGCCAGGTATAGTATTAGAGCATATAATTATCTTTCCTTTAGTTAAGCCTATTTTTGTACAACTATTAATTTCTTCTCTGTGGCAGCACTACTGCTGTAGCCATGAGTTTTGGTTCTAATGCTCCTCTATTAAATACTTTTTAGACCTCAGTTCAGGATCAAGACAAAGTAAGAAGCAGAATGGGTGTCCTGTGGAAAGTAAGTTCTCAAGTCTAAGGTACTAGAACATAATGAGCTACTGCTTCTATTTCTCCTTCTGCTGTCCAGGTCACAGCCCTCTTCCCATCTGTTCCCCAGTAATGTTCTACCCCCATCCAACAGCTATACCAGCTCTGTTGATTTAACCAAAGAGTTTCAACTTTTTTTATGGACTTTTGGTTCTGTTTCAGACCCAAACAACTTCCACAGACAAGAGATGCTCTCTAACCTCATCACTCCCAGTCCAACTATTTCAACTGATCTATTTCTTAGACATTTTCAGTATATTAAGGCTGTTTAAAGTAATTTTTCTGAAATTAGTTAATGCACATGAAACTGTATTTTAAAACCCCTGGTTCATAAATCCTGTGAGCTTTTCCACGTCAAGCTTGATTAAAATGAGAAAGGATACTGGATAGTATCATCCACCTGGTCTGACGAAGCTGCATCTGCGTTTGGTTCCTCGGCTGCCGTCACCACAGTTGAGAAAGCCTAGAAAGGGAAAAGCAGCACAGATTTATTCCAGTTAATAGACAGACAGATCTGCATATAAAACAGTGAGCTGTGAGCTAAAGGCTATCACTCAGGGGGAATAAGATCTTGGAAGGAGAACTCTAGGAGCATGTCAGTTCAGCAGCAATCAAAGAGCAAGCAAGGTTACATATTACCATGGCAGGCAGGAATACAGAATGCAAGACATCACTCTGTGAACTCTTGTGCCTGCATTTTAAATCTCAAAAGGTTCTGAGTCCTGACTCGTTCTCAGCAAAACTACAGAACTGAAAAAATACTCCCAAAGTGAGACTGCTTAAATATTCTGGGGATGTGATAGAGGTAAGTTGGCTGTGAAGAAATCTATAAAACTGAGGGACAGCAAGAGTCTGGGTAGGAATATACAATACACAAGAAGCAAGGCAGCAGCAAACAAAACACACTTGGAACAACTAAAAGGATTACCCTCTAAACTGCAGGTAGGTAAGCTACAGTTTCTTGCAGAGGATGCTGTGGTTGCTAAAATATATTGGTAATGACATCCAGGTAGGTTTACAAAATACAGAAGAACCACTCAAGTGTAGGAAACCTTAGAACTAAAACGTGATAGTTAGCCAGGAAGACGATCATATTGTATTGTAATGGATGTTCTCTTCCTATACTCTCTCTGCTTTTGCCTACAGTATGAGACAGGTTATTAAGCTAGAAGGACCCTGGCTTTTCCCTGGCACAAGCCTTCTCTCCAAGAGCCCCACTTGCCTGTTTCCATAAAAGTGTCACAGAATACTTAAAAACAAAGACAAAAACAAGAAAGGCAATTTCTTTAAGCACAAAATCTGATCTGTGCCAAGCATAAAATAGAAGCAGAAGCAAAATAGTTTCATCACAGAGCAACAGAGTTGGAAATCAATGATTCACAGTAAAGACAAACTTATTGGAATTACTGTGAGTTCTTGTGGACCAAGGTATGGAATGATTTAAGCTGTCAAAAGGGGCACTAAAGAAAAGCAGACATGCAGCAAAAAGATCAATCAGAATACTGAAAGCAGGTAAGGGTACTGTTTGCATCATCACATACCTCTAACCAATCAACGAGATTGATTAATCTGCCACATTCCAAATGAAGCTTATACACTATGCATATATCAGGGGCTTTATTAGAAATGCCTCCTCCATCACATTTCAAAGCTTGATTCTGATGAAAAAAATTGAAGGCAATAACTTTGATCAGTGTCTAAATCTTGAGCAATTCGACGGGCTAGATAAAACATTATTTCAGGTAATTCAGATAGTAGGCATTTTAAGCAAATGTTTACTGTTTGCATGTTTAATGCTAAGTTGATGGTACAAAGAAAAAACCCAAAAAACAAACAGGAAAATAAGAAGCATACTATTAAAAAAAAACCAAAACAATAAAACCCTCCCACAGTACTTGACTCCTGGTGTTCCTTCTATAACACTTATGTAGTATCTACTGTAATGAGTGATTATCTGACTATGCTTTTATGTAATTATTTTGCTAGTTCTATTTACATACGAGAGAGAAATATTCAGTTTTATGGAGTCAAAAGAAGAAACCAGTCATGATTTGCCATCTAGAAAATAGGAAGTATCCTTTTCCCAAGCCCCTTGAAAGGAAGAGGAAGACTTACTATAGATCTGTCATATGTACTAAAAATAATTGCTTCTCTCATCTCAGAGTTTTATCTTTGAAATGTAACAATCATTTATCTCTGGCTTGAAACTCGGCATCTGTAAAGGCAGAAGTCTAATTTCTCACAAAGCATTCTATATTTCAGGAAATTCAAAGAATCATTAAGGTTGGAAAAGCCTTTAAAGATCATGTGAGTCCAATGATTAACCCAGCACTGCCAAGGCCACCATTAAACTGTGTTCTTTACTGCCACATCTACATATCTTTTAAATCTCTCCAAGGATGGTGAGTGCACAACTTCCCTGGGCAGCCTGTTCCAATGCTGCTTCTTTCCAGAAAGAAATTTTTCCAAATATCCAACCTAAACCTCCTTTGGTACAACTTGAGGTAATTTTCTCTGGTCCTCTTGTGGATTCCCTGGGAGAAGAAGCCAAGCCCCACCTGGCTACAGCCACCTTTCAGGCAGATGTAGAGAGTGATAAGGTCATCCCTGAGCCTCCTTTTCTCCAGGCTAAACAACCCCAGCTCCCTCAGCTGCTCCTCACAGGACCCTGCACCACTTTGTTGTCCTTCTCTGGACATCTCCAGTACCTCAATGTCCTTTTTAAAGTGAGGTGCCCAGAACTGGCCACAGAACTCAAGCTGCAGCCTCACGGCCGAGAACAGAGGGATAATCCCTGCCCTGGGAGAGTGATAAGGTCATCCCTGAGCATCTTTTTCAGTATCAATATGTGCTTGTTAAAATGAGGGGCCCAGAACTGGACACAACAGTCGAGATGTGGCCTCACCAGTGCCGAGTGCAGAGGGATGGCCACCATCCTGGTGCTGCTGGCCACACCATTGCTGATCCAGGCCAGGTGCCATTGGTTTTCTTGGCCACCTGGGCACACACTGGCTCATGTTCAGCTGCTTTTGACCAGCACCCCAAGATCCTTTTCGCTGGGCAGCTTTCTAGCCTCTTGGATTCAGGTCATCAGCACTGAACCATTTACTTGGGAAGTTAAAAAGTGACTCAAGCCAGATGCAAAAGTCTCTGTACAGCTGCAGAAATTTACACCATTTCATTTCAGTTTCATGCACTCTAAGAAGTCAGCTGTTTTAACATGAAAACAAATACTGATCGTTTCTTTCAGCTCATAGAAGTTTGTTCTAAAATGCTTTCATATGCTAATAAAATATAAAAGCAACTTCTTGGAAGTTATAAAGCAGTAGCAATGACAGACACCTTCAAAATAAAAACACTTTTCAAGACAGCAAAGAAGGCTAGGCAAAGAATATAACTTTGCTCAAGAATCTCTAGTTTACCCATAGATGTAAATTCCTGCAATTTTTGAGACTCAGCTCCAATTTGGACTCTGGCACTTATGAGACATTTCACAATTTCCAGAACACCTAGCAATTTTCAAGTTTATTTACTCTCCTCTACCAGGAACATAAAAGCTGTAGACCTTAGGCTAATATCTGTCAGTTCATTACAAGATGGTTTCTAGAAAAACAGAGAAATATTGCTAACTGCTCACAATGTTACAATGCAGACATTAGTCTATCAGGAACTGTAACTCAGCAGTGTACCATAATAGTTTCAAATAGTCCTGTGTTAGTACCTGGCACACAAGGTTACACTTCTGGCTGATCTAGATCTAGTGGCTCACCACTGCCTAGAAGGACAACACTACACCCTATTCTTTTCCTCTCTCCTTACAACACCCAGGTCTGTCGTTTTCTACCACTCACCCATGTGCCAACCTGGCAATGCTGGACCCTTTGCACTGATTTTCTAATTTTAAGGTTTCAGGACAGTTACCACAACCAAGAGAGGATACAACCTCCAGAGCACCTGCACACTCCTGGAACAAATCCATCTGTAGCAGCACCTGAGAGATCCCAGCCTCCCTTGTGGTAACTGGGCCAAGCCTCTGAAGTGCAGCCACAGGGAGCCAGCGGGGAAACCTCGGCTGTGAGGCTGCAGCACACGCGTGGTCCCGAGAGGAAATAACCAGGCTGACAAGCAGGAAGCTGCCCTACAACGAGCAGCCAGTTGTGAAAACATCTGTACAGAGCACAGGTGCTGCTCCCAACAGAAGAGAACAGGAGCAACCCAGAACACAGCTGATGAGGAATTGCTCTTGCCTAACCCTGCCCCAAGGCTAGGCAGAGGACACAGCATACCTTGCTCTAGAATCAATGCTGTTATCCCAAGGACCAAATCCTCTTTCCCTGACAAGGGAGCTGGTATCCCAAGTTTCAGCTTGTTAAATTTTCAAGGGATCAGTGAAACCAGAATTACGCCGGGTTTGGTGCAGTTCTTTTGGGGTTCTCTTCTCCCCTCACCTGATAAATATGACCCTTGGTTCACGTTTAGCTAAATAAATAACTGAACTTGACTCCTGTAAGCAATGCATCACATATTAATCATTCACTGGTACTCTACTGAAGCAATTTTCTGTCCTGGCCTTCTGAAAGGAACAGTTCTGGAGAACTTTGCTCTGGTCACAGCGCAGAAAAATACAAACCATGCAAAAATCATAGAAGAAAATATTTGACTCACGTGCATTAAAATGTAAGCAAGGTACTCAGCCAATACTGCTACTGTTAGAAGCTATGCCAAAACTTCACAATCTTCTCAGAAAACATTGGAAATATGTTAAAGCATGTCCAAGTACAAAGTACAGGATGACAGGGGGCTTTAAATCTTGTCAACTCATCAAGGAGAACAGAATATTTATTAAAGACATCAGTAGTTAGATTTTCTTGGCTGTCCTAGTCTATATATATATATATACAGGTTTTCTAAATATATAAATTACTAAGGCTCATATTAGGTTTCTTTAATGGTAACTTGTTAACTACTCTTCTCACAAATAAGCTCTGTAAATGGTTTCAGTAATAACTCCTGCACACAGCAAAACTGATAACCCTCATTCAAATCAAAGACGGTGCCAACAAACCCAATCACGTCGTAGATTTCAAAGGATGGTCTATCAGCTTCTACAGTTCCTGATAAGCTTTGACTCAAGTAGTGCATTATTCAGATACAGCTACAACCAATACTTTCTTCAAAATTATGATCACTTTTTAAGAAAAAATATTAGGGCATAAGAACAACTTCAAGTACCTTCTATAGTCAAGGATAAAAAGAAATGTATGTTCACTCCTTTTCCAGATTCTAGTCTATTTCTTTCTTTTGGTCATCCTTTCAGTTTGACTTATGAAGGAAGTGGAGAACAGTCTGCTTTTCTCTTCTAGAAAAGGGCAGGATTAGGCTGATAGAATCAAGGACTATCCCTTTCTTGGACTCAGAAAACATTGGATATCAATGCACCACAAGTATTAAATTAAAATTTCAGAGGAAAACAAATGGACTTGGTTAAATATGTTGTATTTATGCTATTTTAATGTATGACTCCACCTGAATAGTCTTTGCCTTACAGCTAATCCACATAGTGAGGACTGAGCACCAGCCCTAATAAGAAAGTCTCTGGAAAGAGTAACAGACACTTTATTTTTCCCTGTGGGCAGTCATCTTAATTGTAGTGGAGGACAAAATGTATTTTCTGCAGTATCTACAGAAGAAAAGAAAGTATCACGGCTAGAACACGCTCTGAAGAATGGATTCCTCCTACAGAACGTTTTCCAGAATTACCTTTGCAAGACAGATTCCCCAGCTATTTGAACAAAGTCCCCAGTTGCTTATCAGCACTTGCTAGTTCTGTGCAAAACAGCTGAATATGTGCCAAGCTTCCTGAAACAGTACAACTCAGCCTTGCACACCAGCCCCACACAGCCTCCCAGAACTACTTCAGCACCCAAACACTTGCTTCTTACCTTCAGGTACCAGTGTGGGTTATTTAAAGCTGTGTGCAGTGCAGTCCTGGGGGCAGCATTCAAGTGGCCTCGGAGAACAGTGGTAGTGTTGAAATACACAATCTCATGCAGGGTCCTGTCATCTGCAGGAACAAGGTATTTTCTGGAAAAGCATGAGGTATGGGGGGAGTGGGGGAGACACAAGCTTCAGCTTAAGGGAAACAACACAAGTCTGCTGCAGTCAGACTACAAAAATGCATGTTACCCATCCAGTACTGAAAAATCTCTGAAAAACAAGATGAACAGCACTGAAATAAACTTTTAAGCAGAGAAGTCTGTTATTATGAACTCTACATCTAATGAATTTAGCATAGAACTCTAGCTGAGACACGGACAAATTAAGAAAAAAGAGCAGCAACTACAGTGCTAACCAGTCAAGTACTCTACAGATCTTGCTTGTCCATCTCAAGGACTCATCATGAGTCTCTGCTCATCTTTGTCTTCCTATCTGAAGCTTTTTGCTTGGCAGTCATACTCCTGTTAGCTTCTCTGCCTCCCCCCCACTCTCTATAATTAACAAGTGCCTTCATCTCTTCCCCCACCACAACAAGCCCTTCACATTTTCCACTGCAGAGCTGCCTCCAAAACTGCATCTGCTATGGCTTGCTCACCAAAACAGTTCCCAAAATGGACAGGATATCACACTTGACATCGGTACAGTTTCATAAGTAGAGCAGATCAGCAAAGATTAGGGTAAAGACTTTTGACTTTATTTTGCCACGCATACCCACTCCTCCCTCAACACTGTTTCAGCAGCCAAAGTAGGTTGGTCAATTCGTATTCTAATTATTTCAAATGATCTATTGGAAAAGAGGTGTGCTTTGTTTGGTTTTTCTTTTTTTAGTTATTATTTTTAGAGCCCTCAAAGAAAGAATAGGAAGGGAAAAAATAAGTATGCCACAGAGACTGAGACATAATTTTGACAAGATTAATGTAACATTTCATTTGCAACTTATGGTGGAAACTAATACAGGAATATAAAACAGGAAGGCTCACCTTACAAGACTGTCTATATAGTCAACAACTTCAAAACGAAGCATTTCAAACTTCGTCAGTTTCTTAGACCTCCTTGATTCCTTCAACTCCAACAAAGTCTTTAAAAAAAAGTGATGCATAAGACTACATAGGAGGCAGTTATTCTCTGGAGAATACAATCTATATGTTTAATGTGTATAATTAATTTTTGCTAGCATGTTCTCACTGATGATGTCTGAAATGCAATCATGCAGTTATTTTTATTTAGGCCAATGTATTCAGTTCTCAAACCCGTAGGAGTTCAAGAAATTCAAAGAAGTATGTGTTAGGCAGAATGTCTAAATTACAAGTTAAATAAAAAGAAAACATCTAATTTGCATTTTAAAATCCTGGTTTATGATAGATATTTTCTATAATTTTGTATGTGTCAGGAAGGCCTGAAATACATCGTTGATACTTATTCATTCATTTTTAAGATGAGACACACACACACACACACACACACACACACACAAACCCTTTACTCAGAGCTCCAGCAAGCTGGGAAGAACTAACCATGAACATTTTAAAACATTAATTTAAGGAACCAGTCAGTAAAGCCTAGGCAGGCCTAACCTTCTGAAGGTGATAAAGGTCTGTCTTCTTCTGGAGCTCCTTTTGTGACGATACGGACACATCTCGTTCTTGGGAAGCTTCTGCTACTGGAACAAAACGAATGTTTGATATGTGGGGTAGACTTTTCCTACATAAACCTCCTAAACCAAGCAATCTTCAATGTACTCAGTAGTTCCTTGTTCAAAGAGACCCAATCACAAGCAGCTTTTGGGTCTTACATCTTGTAAAAGATTATTAAAAAAGGAATCTGCAGTACAGCTTAGCCAATAGTGATTAAGTAACAATTCAACCATGAGCAAAGGCCCAGCACAAGCCTTGCACATCACTTTAAATCTGTTTAGGCCATCCTAGGCCATACTCTCAACATTTGTTAACTGGACAGATTAGGACTAGGTACTACTGATGCTTTTGGAATATTCAAAAAGCCACATGCTGCATTTTTTGTCCTCATGTGGAAAAAAATGAGTAAGAAATGAGTTCTCCCTACCTAACCCAGAAACTGCAACCAGAGTAGCAAACAGAAGCATGCTAAGCCATTTCATTGTCCAGTTTTATTCTCACCTTATTAATAATTTATTAATTATTAATAAGAATAATTTATTAGTTATTAATAAGAATAATTTATAAGAAAATTTCAACTTCATGGATATGTAGTTTGGTGATCAGTTGCACCATTATTAGTAATTTTTAGATAAAAACAAAGAAGAAAAACCTCCCAAAGCACAATCAGTGCAAGGATAAGAGATAATCAGAACAAAAATAATCTAGATTTCTTGCCATACTTAAGAAAATGGCAGATGGAGATTCCACTCACACATCACAGGTAAAGCTCTATCAGCAGTAACAATCATGATATTTAAAAGCTTTTTGGTGACATGCAGAGAACAATTTGGTAACTCTTCCAGGGTCCTGTGGACATTTATCTGAGTGTTGAAGACTTCAAAACCTCCTCTCCACTACTACATCAACATATTTATTTCCCAAATCCTTCAGCTCAAAACAGATTGAACGTGAAGCTATTTTGTTTGTTCAAGCTTCATGATTTTATGTTTTTGAGTTCATTAGGCTGTCAGGACAATGAACTTTATTGTTATTATAAAAAAGTAGCATTTTGGACTATCCTTTCACTCTAAGAGCTCTGTGGGTGATTTGGATACATCACATTTTTGGCAGATGTCTGAGAACCCTCAATAAAGATCAATACCATCACAAAGTAAGAAATTATCTAACTCAGCAATTTATTCACATACAGTTTAACTTAACTTCCCCGTCTCAATTTTCCTTCAGAGCCTAAATCCACTTTGTAAACAAACTAAGATCATCATGGATTCAGTAGACCTTCTCTATTTTAAAACCATCTTCAAATCCTAAGTGAAAACAAATGCTGTCTTTTTTGTGTTATAGTTCTGCAAGTTCTGAATCCCCAGAGTTGTTGTTACTTATTTATTTCCTCAAGGTAAAAATCCAACTACTTAAAAGCCTTTTGCTTTAATTCTTTTTTTTCAAATGAGACAAACCTTTAGTTTTCCATCATAGTTCAGATTCCTCAGTGATGGTATCAGCAGTGACACACACAGCTTTATCAAAGTGATGACCTATTTTCTCTACCACAGCTCTGTTTTTACTACAACTATTAAAAAATACATGGTACAGACAGGAGCCAATTCTTCTGGACAGCCCTCAGTTAATCCTACAGTGTAATGTGACTACTTTAATTAATATTGACTGCATCTGGGGGTTGTTGCCTACTATGCTGTATAGCAACCACACTGATAATGAGCTTAATTAATAAGCATAAAACAGACCAGATGATAACCAATTCATCTTCAAAAGCCAATCTTTGAGGAGTGCTTCTCCATAATTCAGGGCAAGCAACAACATTCCTATCCAGAAGAATGCTGGAATACATCATACTCCTATTTCAGAGAGAATGCAGCAGTTTCAGTTAACCTGCCTCTAAAAGACAGAATGCTGCTACTCATTTGCCTTGCTAAACTTAGAAATATGTCCTCCACCATGAACAATCAAATCTAGGGGCTTGACAAGTCACAGCCTATCTGCAGAGCTGACAACTGGCACTCAGGGTCCCAGCTCTGAGCGTGCAGGGGAAGGAACCTTACATATATTTGGGTTAAATACCACGTCATAAGAAAGTCTGCTGCTATTTATCTTTAAAAACAGTTTGTTTTTAGCAACTGCAACATCTGCTAAAATGCTAAAAATACATTTCTGAGAGATTTAGGGGATAATGTTTGCTGATTTGTCCAATTTTTATCTTACATCACTCTTCCGTATTGTAAAAAACATGAACCACATACCAGAAGAGAATATAAACATTTCCTAAATTTGTGCATGTATTTAAAAAAAAAAATCCTGCAAATATGACAGGCTATCTCAGGAAAAATGTTTGGATTACTCATTGGTCAGATTACAAAACAGCTTTTATATAATTTGTAATGGAATACATGATGGTACACACCCACCTTCTAGATTCTGAAACTGGGTCAAGAACTCCTTCAACTTTTCTGCTGCCTTATCAAACTCCTTTCCAGAAGATGACATCAAAATTTCCACACATTGTTGGAGCATGGTTACCAAATCAGTCTTATTCAACATCCTAAAAGACACAATTGTTGGCTGAAGTTTGAAATGCAGAACAATGAAACAGCATTCAGTATTCTTAGTTGAAAAAGGTTAAAAACCAGAAAATTTGAAAAACTCTTTTTAAAAGAAAAAACCTCCAGGATTTCAACCATTTTATCTTGCAGCAAAGTAAATTTTTTTCCTGCTGTCATTAATAGAAAGAAACAAGCCTATTAGGTTTGGTGATTATGTTCTTCACATTTTCCTGCAGAACAGTAGTTTTCCTGATCATCTAAAAACACTTGCTAGACACAGGAGTTGCAGTTTTGAAACTGTGAGTCAGACATCAAAACAAAATTACAAAAACCCCAACACCCAAAACCCAACTATGGTAGGGTCCAGAACTCATTCCCAAAAACGGAAAATGAAATGGTTAAAAAAAAAAAAAAAATCACAGCGTAAACATATTCACAAAATTATTCTCCGTGACTCAGAATGACTCTCAAATGAAATCTGTATGCTTTTTTCTGTATTTAATTGCTGTAAATCTACACATCACTAGAATCCCAGAACCATTCAAGTTGGAAGGGATCTCTTGAGATCATCTAGCCCAACCTCCAGCTCAGCATTTACTTACTATTTCGTTATTAGGGCCTTTCCCAAATGTCACCAAGCACTGCCGAGTCTCAAAAATCTTAATTTAAAAGATACCAAAGCAATGATGGTGGTCAGTGTCCCAGACAGTGGGTTTCCATATCAGCTACCTAAAAAATGACTAAGAAATTTGAGGAAGAATTCAGAGGAGGCTGGGGAAGTTCTGTGGATATCTGGAGGGAAAACTGAAATTTGAGCTCTAGTTTCTAACTGGGAATTGATACTAAGTGCTTATAAAGGTTAAAATTTAAAACTTCAGTTTGTCTGCTTCAGAGTTACGGATTTTTGCAAGTGAAGTATTGCCTTCAGATGCACTTGTTTTGTACAGAAAAGCATCAGGAGTTAACAACAGAAAGGGTGACCTTGACCACACAAAAGGCTAGAAAACATTTTGAAACTGTCTTGTGTAATGTAATGGATAAACAGGATAGCTTTGTTCCAGGCCAGACAAAACACTGTAGTTAAACACCCAAGATGGAAAAAAGAGAAGCAGATCTGGAGATCTGTGAATGGGAAAGAACAAATTTATTTTCATAGTATTATTTAAAAGGAAACTGCAAGTTCTAGAAAAAACTTATTTACAACAACAATGGGATTACAGGGCCCAAAGAACAGGCAAGAAGACAGTTATCACATATGAGAAAACAGTAAAGGATCCTTTGCAACCTTTGAGGTTTGAGGTTACTGCAAGGTATGACAGGTATTGGTGGGTTTGAGATTTTAATTTAGTGAGGAGTCCAGCTTAAAGCAGAAAGGAAGATCTCAGATTAACAAAAGGCAATAAATAAATCTGATTATTCAGACAAGTTATGAAAGAGAAGAAAGGAAGCTACTATGAAGTCCACAGAAGCTCCTTCTGAATGCTCAAGTGGGGAATCACTGAAGAAGTGATAGCAGGTTGGTCAGCACCAAATGACTGGTCACGGAATGGCAGGACTGTGATAAACAGCATGTGATGAAAAGCCATCCATAATTAGCAGACAAAAACCAGAGTAGACAGAAGACAATAGGGCAGACATTTCTTGAAGTTTTGCCAGCCAAAAAACTGATGAGATGTCCCAGCCAGTTAGCTCCACATAACCAATCAAGTGAGACCCTCTCCAATCTTCTTGATGTCTCTCTTCTGATGAAATTAACGCAAAATGAACCAAAGCTCACACATGCTCTCTGTCGCCACATGGCATCTTTTAGACTCTGGAAAACTCAGGTAGATTAACCACTGTTTAGATTACTCAAGTTAGATTACCTGAAACACCATCTTTGGAAAGAGCACTTCTAGAAGATTGGATAAAAGCCTGTCCAAGGAAAGGCTGAAGTCGAGAGGCCAATCACAAAAGAAACACATTTCAGCAACTTAAAACCTTAAATTCAAATACATTCATGAAAGGCAAAAGAGATACCTTGTTACAAAATGAGAAATAAGCTGATCTAAAGCTTCTCTATTTTTCACTTTCTAAATACAAGGGAAAAAAAGATGGACTCCAGAAAAACACTGAGAAGGAATATGAGATGGGGAAGAGTGAACATAAGGATATCAAGAGGTAATGTGACTCCCAGGAAGGCAGAAATATTAAAGAACAGTGAGTAACTTTTAAACATGAGCAAAAGGGGGGGAAAAAAATTGAGTAGAAGGGGAAAGACCATATTTTATCATTTTCTTCTAAAAGACAACAGCAAGATTCTATACAGAAAAAGCAGAGACAAGAGGAATTATTTGTAAAAAGGCAAACAGAAGTTAAAAGCTGAAAAAATTATAATTACAGCTAGAATTCCAAGCACTTGAAGAAGTTGTGTTCAACAAGTTTTGTTATGAAAATGACAATTTCTGGATTAAAAAAACCCCATAGAATCATCATCTGTGAAAACAGCGACCATGATCACTGTATTTCTATCAGAGGCTCCCACAGTGAGAGCCAGGACCAGAAAACAACAGGAGGGAGATGAACAGATAAGAATAAAAGGGGAGCAAGCCAGAATCTGACGGCAGCATCAACTTTGAGATAGGAGAAGAGACATGAATTCAGAGAGGATGAAAGCAAATTAAACAGAGGAGAAGAAAAAGGAGAGGGAAAACCAGCCAAGAGCTATTAAGAGATTGCAAACAGACAGTAGAGGAAAGCAGAATGACACATTTGGGGGCAAGAGCTGAGAGCTGACTGAGTGTTGTCAAGATTCAGGAGAGTCAGAGAAGGAACACAAAGGAAAGACTGCAGAAATGACAACTCAAGCATGTAATCATTTCAAAGGGATGAGGGTAAAGAACACAAGAAAGTGGCTGTGTGCGAGAAGTACTCAGTATGGCAAAGGTACAGTTTGAATAGAGTGCTCCCTTGTGTGTGTTTCAGCTCAGAAAGCTACCCTCCATCTACCACTGAAAGGTTTTTTCTGTTTTACTGGCAGACACCTCAAACCTGAGCAGCTCAGGGGGTCTGAAGAGGCATTTACATTTACAGGGTCGCACTGGCTCCTTGAGCAACAAAGCCAAGGGATCGTCTGAACGAGTGCAACTCTCAGGAGACAGACACTGCCATGTGTCTGTTGGAAGCACATTTAGAAGTCTGTAGCTGCAGCACTGCAATTGAAAGGTTTTCTATCAAGAAAACTGGCTTTGACGATTTTGGCATTTTAAACAGTGGCAGACAACACAAGTACAGGCTCTCCTAAAGTCCTACGCTCACAGTATCAGAACAAATTAACTCAGTCCCTGTAAAAGCTGTTAAGGCAGATTAGGAAGAGAAGAAAAGCAGTAAAATAAAAAAGAAGGCCTCAGCTACTATTCATTTGGAACAGATTCTAATTTTCACAACAGATTAAAATTTAAGACAACTAAGACTAATAATTTGATTGATAATACCTACCACAATCATACTTTAAAAGACATAACCCAACTCATTCTCATTCACACAAAGTAATCTCAGTGGTTTCAGCAAAATTACTCAGGGCATATGAAATATTAGAACCTGGCTGAATTTCACAGAAATCAGTAGAAAACAAAAGTGAAAACAGCAGCCAATTACACTTGCAAACCCCCAAACTAGCTGTGAACAGGTAATATCCTGAGCTTTAAGTTCCAGAGTAAGTGATGACTGATATTTTCCATGTGTATGGTGGCATTAAAACAAAATGAGAAAAAAAATCACCTTGCTAGTTGAAGAGATGACTCATACTCCTTTGTCTCCCACACTCGGTTTTCCAAACAAGCACAGTGCAACTCCCTGATCTGTTATGCAGAAGGTGAAGAAAGGATAAAGTGTTTTACAGAGTAATGTGGAAATCTTACAACAAGCTGTTCAAAGCAATAAGCAATTCCTTTAGAGTCTATTTTCCAAAGATGCAGAATGATTGCAAAAGGAGTGAGAGCACTTAGTATCTTCCAGAACTAAGCTTCTTGCTGGGGACTGTTGCTCTGCACCAGGTTCCAAACAACTAACATTCAGGTGACAATGACTGCAGTGAACAGAAAGGAACTCCAGTGAAATGCCCCAGCTAACACATCCTTTTATTCTCAAACAGTGGGACGGTTCGTGCTGCTTTTGTAGTCAGTGACAGATTCTAGTAACAGTATGCAATACATTGAGAACTGAGAGACAAGTGCACATAATACATAACTGCTCTTCTACTGGAAGAAATCGCTTAGTATGAGAAGGTGGATTAAATGACATCAGAGCAACAGGACTATTAAGAGCAATTATCACTGTTCCTCCTACTACTGCTTTTTTTGTGCACAGAAGGTTGCTAAAAACTCAGACTCTTCGTCTGAATTTGACTAGTGATCTAATAGGCGGCAGAAGAGTGTACATTGTCTGCAATGCATACAGATAATCTCAGATGTGGGAAAGTCAATGTGTAGATTCTTTTGCCGATCTGTGCATCTGCCTCCTCCCGGAAACTCCTTCCTGTTGACTGACAAGGTTATCATCCATGCCAGTAAAAAACCACATACTCTCATCCTCTGCCCATAGCAAGAAAGCATCTCTCTCCATTTTAAAAAACAAGTGGCAACATTAATAAATAAAGAGTAAATATTTATTTAGACATCACACTTTGAGGCAAAAAAACCTCCAAAACAACAAATCCAAACCAAAACCACAACAACAACAAAAACCCAACAAGATCCACATATAACAGTACATCACCTGCTTGCCCAAAGGATACTTTGGAAGAGAAGATGTGAAAACATGAAGACATCTCAGAATTGAAACATAATTTTCATGGTAAACATGTAAGTCCTCCAGCAACTTCTCTGTTTCTTCCTACAGTGATAGAATAATTTAAAAAGTAATTCTGACATCCATTTAAAACTCCCATGAAGCACTTAAAATGACTCTGAAGTTTTGATATTGTAGTGTGCTATGATTTAAATCACCAATCTTAAATTGAGACTAAGCAAATGAGCTGTATTTCAACAGTTTACTGTGTTCCCTTTGCATATTGCTACCTTTACTATCTTCCTTCAGCTCAGCAGAGATTTACTGTTGACTAGCATTATTATTCTACCATTTTCAGCTCTATTTAGGCCTTCAGACTTGAAATGTCATCTCACAACAATGAGAGTATACACTCTTCCTTTAGCAGGGAATGAGAAGTTACACAGCTACTTTTACTCGAAAACTTGCATTTTAATACTACAAGTACATTTAAAAATTTATTTCTTATCTTGTGGGTGGCTGTTGTTTTTATTAGTTATATGTACATAAGAAGACCAGGTCACAGAAAACAAATAAATATTCAGTTGCTGCTCCTATGTGTTTTTAATTCGACTTTTGCTTATTCATGTGTGAGAATATGTTATTCTGCAGTGAGAACCACAGAAATAGAAAAATCACATTAAAGAAAAAGAAATTATTGAGTACTGCTACTGAATTTTCTGCATGGCACCACATTATCACCGGCCTGCCATGAAAGCATGTATTAACACTTCTGGAAAGCCACATTCAAAAATTCTGGTAACTATTCTAAAGAAATTTATTCTTTGTGGTCATTACATTTAAGTCAGTGAATCAAAAGATCTTCTCTGTCTTCAGTCAAAAATAAAGAGGAAAAACCACAGGATCCTCTACATATTTTACTGCCCTTTTGCTTAACTCTGAGCAAACTATTCAAATGGAAAAACAAAATAAATCACTGACATTTTCTAGAGTTAAACTGAAACAAAAGGTATCAAAGATAAAAGAAAAGCAAAACCTTGTCTACAGGCAATATAAGGAAGTACAGATGTATGGAAAGAAAAAGCATCATACTGCAAAGACTGAAAGTAACAAAGACAGTGCTACAGAGAACTTTATAATGTTCAAAGAAGTTTTAAATTATTAAAAACATTAACGACCTTTCTCCCCATGAACTTTTTATATATGGAAATTTAAGAGTCACTGATATAACAGCTGTTAAGGCAACCTCTAAAACCTTAGGTAGACATTCACAAGTTTTTATTTTAATTTTAAGTAGGATCATTAAAGAAAGAAACTATCCCCACCTCCAAATAAGCTAAGAAAGCAAGTTCTCTCTAATGCTGCTTCATCAACCTTATTTCCCCAAACCCCAAGCATTAACACACCTGTATTCTTCTTGCTCCTAGCTCAAGATATAGTTAATATAAGTAAATAGCAATGTATTTTGCCAAATAACAAAGTGAAAGGCATAATCCATTGTAGAAGAGTTTGAAAATGTCATTAGAAGACTATGTAATATTATTTCCAGAACAGAAATAGAAGACACAAATGCCACATTCACATAGTTTCAAATTAAATTTTCCATGAAACCATTCAGACAGATTTGTTAATAATTATGATGTAAAATTGCTTTTAAAACTGATTATTTTAAATAGGTGAGACTTCCCATAGTTATTAAAAAAAGTGGTAACAACATGGAATATAAATGAAGCTGATAACCTGTATTGCAGGTTTAGGGGCTAAGCTGGAAGACTAAAGTGGTCTGGTGCTGAAACACCAAGTTCATATGAAAGATCACTGTAGTGACTTTGGAAGTGTCTCCAAAGCTGGGTTATAGGTGAGCATGACATCAGAATAAACAGCACCTCATTAATGCAGCAGTAGGACCTATTTCCCCAGGCAGAATACTCTGCCAGCTTGGCAAGACAGTATTGGTCCTGCCTCTACTGTGGAGATTAGAACAAGGGCCTTCAATTAAAAATCTGTGAGAAGCATCATATGCACCTAAGCATGAGAATTCCAGCTTCCTTTCCCCAAGTTAAAAGGTGAGGCTTGTGAAATAAGGAATATATTATCAAACATCTAAGGTTGAAAACGTATAAATTTTAAGCTGATGAGTATTCAGCTTTCAAAGCAAGTGTGAATAAAGGGCAAAGGAACTGTAGTAGAAGATAATAGATCATAAAATGATGTAAAATCATATCTCATATTGAATACTGCAACTGTACTTGTAATGTTGCCTGCTCCTAACCTCCCCTCCAGCCATTACCACTGTTCTTCACACCTGAAAAAGCTTTACACACCAGGCAAGTACCATTTGCCTGACAGGTTAGAAATATTTGAAATTAAGAGTAAGGAGAAACCTTTTACCTTGAGCACTGCTTCTGAGTGGCTCAGATGGTGAAAATAACAAACAGATTTTTGTTGGTGAATTCCTAAAGGGCTCACAATAGCAGTAGTCTGACTTCAATCAGTTGGCAAAGCTTCAGATAAACATGTAACAAATTAGTTTTAATCCTGTATGAGGTCTAGTATGAATGTGTGCCTTGGGACACAGACTGCCCTACTGAGTTCAATCAGAAACTTTGTAGAGACTATGAAGGATTAAGAGCTTATGAAATAACCTCCAAGATTACTTACACATTCTTCAAACGCTTAACTGACCTACCAAGAAAGTCAGTCTGAGTAAGCATGAAAAGACCTGGCCATAAATAAACCTTGTATCCTTCTTTTTAAGCAGTTATATTTCTAGACATAGCTAAAAGTTGATGTAACAAAGTTGTGCAGCTTCATATAAAGGCTGACCTGGCAACCCTAGAGATTTGGAATTTTGTCCTGCCAATCCTAATTCCTCATTACTAGTCACAAAGCACAGTACATTTTGTATGAAAGATGTTATACAGAACTTTACATCTTGGTCTTATATTTTATTATGTTCCACAAAGTGATACATTGGGCAAGTTATTTCTGTCCTTCAAAGACATTCTTAAAATTTTACCTTTAAGAAGCAGTCATTTGTCAGCAGCGCAACCTGTTTCCCTGACTCTTGCTTTTCCACATACCTTATGGCAAGAAAAAAAAAACAACATAAAATTATAATGTAAAGGAAGATACTAGGGTGAAAAATGTGTAAAATGCTTACGCTGCTATAAGAAATACGTATCTTTCTTTGGAAAAATTCAAAAAGGACAGTCAAATCCAACAAGTTGAAAGGCCACACCAAAACCCTAGAGATTATGCTTCAAATCAGCTTAACAAGTTTAAAAGTGATTTACGATTACGTGTCAGAATAATTTGTTTCTGTATTAAGAGCAAGAAGAAAAAAAAGTAAATTCAAGTGATTACACATCACAGCTGTACTCTCTAGGGTAGAACATTAAGGCTTTCTGAAATTATTTAGAAATGTCCTCTGTTTGATCAATTTACCTTTGCTACAGAAATGTGCACAAATGAGCTACAGTCTTCACAGAACTACATTTACAGATTCTTTTTTATCTTTTTAAAGCCAACTCAATACATGATTGTCCAAAAAATATTTCCCCCTTTACCTTCTAAAAGAGGGCAGTCTCCGAATGTTTTCACACTGTTCATGTGATAAAGAATAAGCTCTCTTCTTAATATCTGCTAGTTGGCAACACAGTACACTGAGGGGCTGGGAATAGAAGTGCTCCACAATACAGAGCTGAAAAAGAAACCAAGAAATAAGGATGTTAATAAAATTAAATCTCCCTGCTATATCTACCTTTTAATGCCTTTGTACTACTACATTGCATATACTACAATGATAGCAATGGTACTCCTATAAAAAACATTAATTACAATTAATAAATATTCCCACAGTCACTACAGGACATTGACTATATAATTGTAAACATCCACATTGTTGCCTTCTTTGCTATATATGCTATTCATTTTCAGTACCTCAACTTTTCCCCCCTCTTATGTAACGTCACACCGAGATATATGACATGATGGTGATCTTGTATTTATTACTTCAAAAATCTGATCTGAAATCGCTTCATCCTTGAATACTTTTAACACACAAGGACACAGCCATATACTGTCAGGTCTAAAACTTGTATTTCCATGTCAGGCCAATGGAGAAGTAAATTTTGATGACACTTTCAAATTAGAGGAGCCGAAACCTATGAAAGCCCACAAAGCTCTGTTTTCAGGGAGAGGTACTATGGTCAGGACATTTCTCCTGGCCACATGTAATCACTGAATCTTGCATGTCAAAAAATCAGAGAAATTCTGTAAGTATATGACATTAAAAGGGCATATTTTACTAGCAGGCTCACACATGGAACTAGGCAAGAAAGAAACTATTTCACAATCCTGCATTAAAACAGACAGGGGCTACAAATTCTTCAGAGAACTCTTGTCTGCAATCCACAACAGCTACGAGGAGACCTAGACAGAGAAATAAATCTAGATATGAGGAATTATGTAAAACAATAAAGACTTAACTATCATGCTCTGTAGAGACTCTTTTTGAAAACCCCCTGAGCTCTTCCACTTTGCCTCCTGACAGAGGGTAAATGTAACTCCCACACTGCTACACAACTGCTTGGAGCACAAGTTTATTACCTCCTCTGAGGCACCAAGTAAATGACCCTGAAGCTCCTGTTTCCCTGAAAAGGCAGGAAGTGTGCATCCAGAAATTGTGCCAGGAGTTCCAAGTGGGGAAGAGACACTGCTGTAGCCAACTCACACCAAGACAAACCAGAGTCCAAGGAGCCCCTACAGATGATCAGAATTGGGGAGTTCCGCCAGGGGTGTTAAAAAGCTACAAATTAATCTATAGCAAAATGCACATTTCTGCCCATTAAGCCAGGTCACCCTTTTAAATGCAACCATAAAATATTGTGGGTTTTGTGGCAGAGTAAGCTTTTATTTGCTTCTTCATACAGGTCCTACCAGTCTGCTCTTAAACCCTTATCAGTAAAGATTTTAAAGTATCCATCTGTTCACAGATCCAAACTGTTTCCAAAGGATATTTTTTTCATGCAATTCAGCGATACTAGGACCTAAGAAACCTTTCAGTGCCTAGTAATTACCCTTTGTTTTCACAACATAATTTGAATTCTTGTTACCATTGCCTACCTGAAATCCTTTGATAAAATTCTGGACAGAAAAGTCATGGTACAGGAATATGTTGATGAGAACCTGCAGAACTTTTTCTCCGAGTTTAAAGGGAAACCGGGATGTCAGAAGCAGCTAAAAGATAAAAAGAAAAACTAGCCATAGCAGAAATTTTCTCCTGAATTCAAATTAGTAAAACTTATATAAACAACTCTTAGTATATATTAACATTCAACTAAATGAGATACTTAATACACTGTCAGCTTCTAAAAACAGTATTTATACTAAAATATCAATGCAACGATAGATTTTCAGTTTATTTTACCACATTTTCCTAAGTATCTTCCACTAATACAACATTTTAAGTTAATTTTGCTAAATGCTATTTTTGTAAAATTACAAATAGAACTGACACTGCTGTAATAAACAATGACACCACTACTTTCAGCATGTGTAACAGAGACTTTGGAAATCCTGTGGGCTACCAAAAATCCACAGGCATGATATTTATACGGCTTGAACATATGGATAACTCAGCTAATGTCTGACAAGCGGCAAAACTCAGCTTGAACTTTACTTTTCAGAATTTTAGCTACTTTTCAAAGCTATCTTTTTCTGGAACACAGTAAAACTGAAATCACAGCTTGGCTTTAATGAAGAAGTGTGAATGTCAAAGTGTAATTGCACAAGGCAATGCAAATGAAAGCAGGTGTATGTGTGTGTATCTCAGTATGAGAAGGGAGCTCTCAGTATTGCACTACTCTGCAGCTGCAAGCAAAATATCTGAAATCCACAACTCTCAGCAATAGAGTCCTTTCCAAAACCTTCAGACAAACCTGCATTCAAAGGCCACACATGTAAACCGTGCTTACACGCACATACACACTCATTTCCATTTAGAAAGGAAATTACCTTATCAATTATAGTAGACAGGTGCTCCTTACAGGAAAGGGACTGGAAAAGCTCTATGCACAACAGAGAGGAAACCGAGTGAGGAAGTAGTCTGTGGATAATCATTGGTGATGTAGCGATTCCAAAAATCAGCACTAGAGGTAATTCATGGATATGCTGACTGGAAAATGGGGGAAGCAGAAAAAAAAGTAATAGTTACATTATAGAAGCTTGTATAACAAATGCATTATATTCCTACTACAGCACTGAATTTAAATACAGAAAGGGGTAAATTAAGAGATTTGCTGCCAGTAAACCAAAAGAGGAATTGAAAAGAGAAAATTAAAAAGAAAGATGCTATTTAAAGCCCTTAAGTAGTTAAGAAAATGAAAATCCATTTTCAGATTCACATTTCAGAAAGTGGCACAAAAAGCATAATTTCAGTCAGTCTTGTGCTGATCCTACCTTCCCAAAAAGTTATATTCAGAGAATTGAGTCTTATAATTGGATTTTTTCAAAGATAGAGAGAAAAGATAAGAAGATACATTAAATAGGTAACAGCCAAAAAAATTTACAAGATTTACACCATTTAATAAATTCAAAATAAATACGAAACATCTCCAACGTCTGTGTTCCAATCACACTTAAAAAGATTTCCAACTTTTCCAGATTAATCTTCCTCTTCAAGTAATTTTTGAGTATTTGGTTTAGAACCGAAAATCAGGACTCAATGTGTATTCCTTGAGGACAGCATACAATTTATACAAAATACAGTGTTTTCAGTATCATGTCATCATTATTTTCCATTTTTAATAGTTTCCAGGAGGTACAAAATATGCTATCTTAAATATCCTCTACATTAAAACTGTCAATTTATTCCTTTATTTTGTTTTTGCCACAGCAACTTTCTGAATTTGGATTTTAATTGTTATCCCACAATTACTTCATTTCTCTAACTCCTCAAAAGAAATTGCTGAAGAAAAACATAAAACCAATAAACTTCATTATTACTATCCACTGTTGATAACCTTAAGAAGGAATGAGAACTTTGTGATTAACAAATCAGAGGAACCTCTCACATTTTCCCATTTCACCTTTATTATTAAACAAGGTTAAGAATGAGATGAGGATAATAACTGGTGATACAGCAAGTGAATTGCCTAGGCCTTGTTTAGAGGCAACACCAGGTGCACACACTGCAGCTCCAATTCTACCAGCTCCAACTGTAGCTCCAACTTGGGGACTTAAGTGTAAGATGCTCTTTTCGGAAAGCAGCATGAGCGTTTGATTAGCATGCCTGAGATTGCATTAAGGAAGACAGACTAGAGAAGAACAGAAGTACAGGAGTACCTGAAGTAGTCAGCTGCTGATTACAGATCCTGGCCAGCTGGGGAAATTTTATATACACCCCGGTTAGTAAGTTAGTGACCTTTAAGCAGCAGCATTACATCAGTAATCACACAAAAACACACTCTGCAAACAATTTTAAAAGATCTAGACATCTTACAAATTTAGTTTCACATTCAAAAAATTCTGTAACAACTAGTACCAGTGAATCCTACTATATGAAGAATTAAATCTCAACTGGCCCATAGGCACTCTGGTTCACAGTCTCAAGCTCAGCTTTAGCATAATTAACCCCTAAAAGCCAGCTAGTAATTTTTTGCTCAATCACTGCTGTGAAGAAGCTGCACCAATATTTGACTCCAACACTTCACTGGCCTCACTGTTACATTTCAAAACAGCTGCAAATAGAAAATGGGTAAAGGAGTGGAAGAACTAAATTTCAAGTCACATTACCTGCTGATGACTATGAAGTCTTGAAGAACTTTTGTGGTGAAACTTTCCATGTCTTTGAATATTACTACAACTGGAGGAGACTGCCAATGTCTAGAGGAGGAATTTCTTTTTTTGCTTGGAGTTTCAGAATCTGTTTTCTTTAAAGCCATTAATTAAACATTAATACACAGAAGCCAGCAAAATGAAAAAGACTGAATCACATCTCTGATATTATAATACTCCAAAGTGACATGACTGACTTTTTGTCAGCTGTATTTATTATTAGCACCCAGAACTGCCATTTTTCTTCCTTCTGTTTGGCACAGCACAAAGTATAAAGAATAAATAGATTTTTAAACACACAGTCCAACACTGACAAGATTAGCTCTGAGAGACAGAACTAGTGGAGCTCTGTTGGGAATGAGGGAGAAGATCTGAATTATGTACATTGACATTGCTTATTTTCTATATCTTTATCCAGTAATAAAAAGAGTATGCACTCAGTACACTTTAGTTTATCGCACTGCCTCGATGGAGTAATCAGAAAATCAGTTGTAACTTGTATTCATGACAGAAACAAAACTTAAAACTTCAATAGCTTTAGCAAACACAAAGATAAAAAACATTTTGAAAGTTATTTCCTTACTGCTTGCCAATGTAGTGTGGGCTGCAGATGACATCATGGCTCATAAGCACTAATACAGTACCTTTGCCCTGGATGACTGTTCTTCTGTAAAGTTTTCTTTTAATAAACAAAATCTCAGCAGTCCTGGGAGAAAAGCATCTGGCATGAAGCTGATAATGCATTTTAAGCTTCCGGCTCCCAATGAAACATATGATAAAACAGTACTTCTTGCTTGTGTCTCAGAATTCTGACATTCTTACATCATCAGTACCTAACTCCACATTTGTTCTATGTGTCACATATTGTATTCAAATCATTTCAATATCATGTTATTTTTTAGTATTACATTAAAAATTAACCTTTGGCATTTTCTCACAGAAAGCTGAGTTATTAAATCTCTGTTTTAAACACATCCAAAGGTCAGACGTTTTCACAAACTGGGGATAAAAAAAATGCCAACAACATACCTTTGTTACACTCTCATACCAGCTGGTAAGAGAAGACATTGAACAACGTATTTTATTCTGTGAAACCTGCACACAGTTCTCATCTTCCAGTGAGTCCACATCTATATCACAGTTCATCAGCTGCCCCATCAGCTTCTGCATCAGATTTTTTATGCCTTCACAAGACATTTTTAGAAACATGGCAATGATATTTGGTTATCTGGCAACACTTCTCCATCTCCTACTATAAAAAACTACCCCAAAGTTATTATTCATTATTTTCTACATTTCTAACTATTCTCCTCTCTCCAGAATGCACATCTTATACTCCTGAAAGCATTAATGATATGCACGCTGTTCATGCAATCTACCTAGATGGCAACAACTGAGGTTAAAATGTTTGTCTTCCATCTTTACCTGAGCTCCAGACATCTGCTTTTAACAGTGACTTAGAAATAAATAAAGCAGCCACTCCACAGAACTGACTATGCAGCCATATGTGATTTTAATCTTTTTACTTAAAAAAGAAGCATGGAGGGTGGGAGAATTTTATTCCATCCATTCTCTCACTAAATAATGACTGTAAGCATTTAAAAAGCGGAATACATACACCTACAAGAAGAAAACCAACCTACAACATCTACATGCAATGCACTAAGCACCATATCCTTAACTGCTATGCTACAGCTAAGCAGCATTTCAATCTTCACTGTTTTAAACTGAACTGGATACCTCTCCAAATAGAGTAGGATTACTGCTCTGGTGACATAGGTTTGAGCAAATCTTTGGAAAATCTTTAAGAGCCCTCTGTCTGTTACTCTTACATTAGGGGGCAAAAGCTAGAATTGCTAGTTAATTTATATCTTATTCAAAAGAAGCAGCTATACTATTGCAATATTTACCTGGGCAATCTTTGGCTTCCAGCAAGGCTACATAAGGAGTAATGTTATCCTGAAGGACATCTGAGAGACCTCTGAAAGTCAAGTCATGATCTGTAACATTTACACCTAGAGAGAAAAAAAAAAAAAAAAAAAAAAAGAGAACAAAATTTCAAGAGCATTTTTCCCATGACTCGTGAACAAAATGATTGAACAGTAGACAAAAAAAAACAGAAGATACCTCAAAAGGTTAAGGAAAGAATGAAAAGTATCACATCAGCTGTGAGGAAGATGAAAGACTAGCACAAGAGTAGACATACATGTTGACAGTCCCTGATTAAGAGAAACAGGGAGTCACTGTGAATACCCTTCATCATATAGCTTGGTGGGGTTCTTTAAAGAAAGCTTTCTCAAGAGTGCAAACCTGCAAGAAGCAGGACAGGTTTTCTAACATCCCTCAGAAGCCATCCAGAGCCATGTAAGGCCTGCAGACAAGAAGTTAAATTCACCTTCTCTAGAAGAAGAATACTGTATCCAGAGCTGGATCCTCTCATGGCTCATGTAAAGAGGAAAATTACTGTAAATTGCTGTGAAACTCAGTCTGAATTCACTATGAAATACTTAGTATTTAATGCCTTTTTTAATATCCCTAATCAACAGAAAAATAGAACAAGCCACTCCAGGAAGCCATTCAGAACTTCATCCACAGTAATATTTGAAGCAGTAGTTTTCCTATTACCTACAAAAATAAAGTACCTTCCACTCTTTGTTAGTGGTGTTACTGTTAGCCTACATGGTAAGTTTGAAGCATAGGTCCAATTTTAATTTCCCTAAAATAATCCACTGAAAATGTAATCAACTTGCCTTGAATCACGTTTAGGATTTATAGGCACAAACCTCTGAAAGAAAGGAGAAAGGAAGAAAAAATAAAAGGACTTCAGAACTTTACTAACTTCATCTCCAACTATTTTCTTCACTCTCTGCTCTTTTCCCAAGATAAAGACACTACTTTCCTATACATAAAAAGATGCATGCAAGAACACACATCAGAAATACAGAAGCTGTATCATGGTTAAGTTGTAGAAACCATCAAGCATGCTGGTGGCAGAAACGAGGACATGATCAAAGTTATCTCCAGTGCCTGGAACAAAAAAACCCCAAATCACTACCAGCTGCTTCAGAGAGACCTGCAGGGGAGTTGTTGACTTACTGGACTATTAAGCAACATAGACAAAAGGGGAAGGAGGTTTTATCTGACTTCCTTCTCCCTGCCCAATCTCTTCTGTTGACATGTTTGAAGCTGATATTGCTCACAGTAATTGCTGGAACTCAGTAAGTTTCTTTGATGTGTCTGTGAGTTTTAATCAGATATACATTACAAAAAATGTTTTTAAAAAAATTACCTAAGACAAGAGCTGCAGTAGGGATTTCTCTGAACTTCATCCTGCAAGTCCATTCTGTTGTCTTCTCTTGAAAGTCAGAATGAGACCTGCTCAAAAAACTCACCAGATTCTCAAGCAGCTGCTTATTCAAGTCTTCCTGTATCCGCTGCAAACATACACAGAGAGAATTCATCTATAAAAATGTGAAAACACCTCTGTATCTTCCTTTTTCTACTCCTTTCCTGCATCATCTTTAACCCTTAAAACTCCAGGGGTTTAAGCTTTCCTGTGATCTATAAACGACACGAACTTATGCATTGTGTGGCGAACAAAGACAGTTCCCATCTTGGAACTTCTGGTCAAGTGCCTCAAGAATAATTTGAAAAGCAAATAGGTTTTTCTGTGGTACTTTAAAGCACCACAGGCTTTAAAGGAGGAGAAAAAGCCTCAGTGACGTAGGCAGAGAAAAATAATATAATTAGTTTCTGGAACAATGCTCATGGAAATTCCTATTCTTCCTTCCCACCTTACAAAACACTTGTAAGCATTTTTCTGAGATATCTAAATGAGAACAAATATTCTGCTCCTCCAAATCTAATTTGGGATGAAAGAAGTAAAAATAGTAATAAAGGAAATAAATAAATATGTTTTATAGGAAAAATACTAAACCATGTGTCTCCCATGTTTGCTACACTGTCTTTTGACCTTCAGGATGATTTCCACACAACAATTTGTATAAGCAGGAACACATGAAAAGGTGAAACAAAGCAGGGGGAGATAAAGCTTTTAAAGGCAAATATATGTCTGCAGCATTTTGTATTTCTTTTTTTTAATCTGTGTGCCTTTGAAAATCTGTCCCTAAACCAAAATATGCCTCCTGCTAGAACAGACAATAAAACCTCCTGTACTCTGAAGTTCAGGATATCAATTTATGTACTCCAGAATGCACATGTTAGAAACAAGATTAAACCCTTGCTCCAAACAAAATCATCATCAAGACTTATTATCAACAAAAAGTGACACACACAGCTGTGAGCTTGATTTTAAGCAAAGTGGCAAAGGCAGTCTCTAGCAGCATTGAAGAGGCCACTATCAAAGAGTGACTGTCACATCTCCAGGAGACTGCACATGATTCCTGCTCAATAGCCTGAACCCCGTTTCCATTATACAGAAGGGCCTCTGTTGGTCTCCTAAACAACTGATAAAACTGTACACAAAGTAATTTTAGTCTTTTCATCCTCCACTTATTGAAGGATATTTTTCTGGCCTGATGTTGATTGTGCAGCTCTGAACCTGAAAAAATCTATGTAACTAAGGACAAATTGTAGCGTGACATTTTTGAAAGAATTTACACCATCAGTGTTATAACACCATTGTAACAACTCCTGTATTACCACAGATCCTTTAACAATCCTCCAAACTTCTGTTTCAGATTCCATAAAACCCTAAACTTCCTGTGATCACTATTGTTTTTGCTAAGCTGACCTAAAAAGAACCTCAATTCTTACTCTGGTATATATTATTTCTTCCACTGTGCATTTGTGACAATGGAATTCAGTCTGCCATAGCATTACACATTTACCTAGCTTTCTTAAAATACATCAGTCTTTTCTTGTCAAAACAACTTTGTTACAGAATTGTTTTGAGAATGTTCCAGAAAGTTCACCAGGCTGCTCTGCATCTCAAGTGACCAAGTCACTTACTTACATGGCATTCTCACTCTGGAAAAGTCACAGGAACTGGAAGTTCAGTTACTGCCACAACACCAGATTTTGTCATGACTACTTGTTATGTGGTCTGAAAACCATTATCTTCATATTAGAGCAAAAATTACTGTATTTTAGCCCTGCACTTTGCCTTTTTGTTTCTAGCCCAGATGTTGGTAGAATGAATTCTCGCCTACATGAAAAGAAAGCTTCTGTAAGTCCTTGATGAGATTTATCATAAGAAATTTGCAAGACCACTTCTGACAGCAGGAGTCAAAACTGAGATACCTTGCAATACTGAAACAAAAAAAAGTCCAAAATTCCACCCTCCAAAAACAAAGGGCAGTTCCTGCCACACTTTTGTCAGCTTTTCAGTTGTGAGAAGTGTGAAAGGATGTCATCACCAGATGACAGATGGTGCTGCTACAACCACAGCAGTTTATGATGGACCTACAAAGGCCAAGAGTGCTCTACAATAAAGTGCCTTGGAGGGCAAATCCTCTTCTGAACACCTCAGGCAGATACCAGAGAACAAAGAAAACACCAGCGTAAGCACAAGGCCTGCCAACAAATCACCAGGCAGCAGGGCCCTGGCAAAACCTTTGGAGAATTTCCTGCTAGGCTCCCTTAGCACACTAGCAGAATCCCTGGAATAAAAGCCCAAACCAGCAAGCCACATGAAGCCACATGCTTCCCATGTACTCTGCCACAGATCAGGTATGTGTGTTGAAAACACATAAGAAATGAAATCCTGACTAGCTAAAGCCCTCACCTATCTAGTCTGACCTCACAGATGATGCTGCTTGGAGGAATTCAGGCTTGAGACTTTCTAAGGCCCCTTCCAACCTAAATTATCACACTGTTTTACATGTAAGAACAACCACCAGCTCCAAGTTTGCAAACACTGGGATAAAAGGATGACGATTCAAAACTCAGTAGAAAAGTTATCACAGATAGACCAGAAACAGTATGAAGAAAATTCTCTGTGTAGCAGCAGAAATAACTGCACATAATCTGCCCTTGGGCAATTCTAACTCTAAGGAAATGCTCATATCAATATGTCAGTATAGGAGGAACTGTCTTCCATCAGGAGGAGTAAGACCAGAAGAAAGAATCTAGAAAACTCCTAACAGCCTGAAAGAAAACAAGGGTTGGAACAGAATTAGAGGAATTTATGAGCTTAGCTCAAGGGTCCAGATTTTAAGCTATATCCATCTGGCTTCTACTGCACATCCCAAAACAAACTCCAGGAAAAAAAAGACCTCCTAATGTGTAAAGAGCCCAAGAGCAAGCAGAAGAATATGAAATACTTGCCTAGAATCTGTGACACTGAATAGAGGAGGGGAGGAAATCTCTGCTGTATGGAAGCAATTATTCATACTATAATGCAAGCCAGCTGGCTATAGAGACACAACAACAGCATGCCATGTAACACATAACAGCCAGGAGGCCACAGTTCAGTATGAAATTAACTCTGACCCCATTCACACCATCCATACTGATTCAATAGGCTGTATTTGCAGCAGTGTCATTTCGTATTTGACATCCATGCAGCTGTGTTCACATAAATCCACTGTGAATCCTGGGCTGCTGTGTATGAATTCTGGAACATTGAAGTCAAGATCAGCCTAAAATCCTCAGAGGGCTGCCAAGTATTAACTAAATTGGAAAAAACAGTATGCCAGGAGGTAATAAAGAAGACAATTACTAGGAAGAGAAGCTTAGAAGCAGCAGCTTGAAGCAGCAAAAGTGTACAGTTATGTGGTTACAAGTAATGTGTACTTGATGCATTTCTTATTACTACTTTATATTCTGGACAGTCAATATTTCTGGCGCTCCTACTGCTTTAACTAACTGCCATGCACTTTTAAGGACCTCAAAAAGATCCCCAGAAACAAAGAAGCAAGCAGTATTGTTACAAATACAAAACACCATTTTAGTGGGAGGCACAAGAATCACCTGTGTTTCGGATTTGACCTGGTTCCATAAAGACTGACAAGTGACAAACCGTAGCTCAGTATCCTCTGAATCATCACTTGTGCTTCTGAAATCATGAGCTGGAAACACAGAAGGCAAAGGAAAACACAAATAAGCTCACGAAAACAAAACATTTTTTTTCCTGAGAATAAAACAAAGCACCCAACTGTATATATACATATTTCAGGGAGATCACTTTTCTCTTAAGCAATTAATTAATTTCTGGTATTTGGTAGAATAAGCAAGGGAACAAGCACAATTTATTACCCAAGTATGCAGGCAAAAGGTAAAGAAGAAGCTTCTATCTCAAGTCCCAGATAAGCTGAAGACTAAATCAGAGCAAACAGCCTTTATTATTAAACAATCATCATCATCTTTCTCTGGTTTCAGCAAGCTTTGTGGGTCTACTTGATTGGCATTCAATGGAGCACCAGCAGTGCCTTGATGTCTAGAAAAGAGCCAGTTGATGAGCATAATCTCCTAAAGCACTAAACTCACCCGAAACAGGTCTCTAAATGACAAATGAGGGACATCGCTCTATTTCCATTGTCTCACCTATCATCTCATTTGTATCTCTAAGAAAAATCACTTAGAATACATAACCAACTCTGATTACACAGATCTTAGACTTTTAGTTGAAGAAAAACCAACCACCACATTATCTGGTAACATACCAAGGCATAATATCCTTTTTTCACTACCAAAACTCAAACTATAGGCACAAATGTCCTCAAAAGACCTTTTGTGGGGTATGACACTATCATCAACTATTGATGCAGAGGAGTTTCACAACTAAAACTTCATTTTGGACAGGACTGGGCTTCAGACTGGACAGAAGCACATCCAAGTACATGTTTTAGAACACCACTTTAACCAACTGCTGTGAAAAGCCAAGCCAGCTCACCTCTGCCTCTCTCTTTTAGTCTTTTAGGGCTAGTCCAGTTAAATTTACTTTTCCACCTCAAAGCATTTGCTAACTAGAACAACATGCTTAGCAGTTTATCCAAGCATTTCTAATCTTGCAAAAACAGAAACATAATATCCAGTAAGGGATAAAATTTCAATGTGGTGCAAACGCACAGGCCTTGGTTGTTGCAATAACAAAAATCTGGTCTCGTTACTTTCCTCTTTTTCATATAAATTGTCATACCTTTTGATAGCTCTAATGATGATAAAAGTAGTTTAACCTGGGAAAAAAACAGTAAGTTTCCCAGTTGAGTCTCAAATAGCAATTATTTGAGATGCATTATTTCTGGTTCCAAGAAGAGTCAGTCCTCAAATGAAAACCGACCCCATACACATCTAGAGAAAACGTATACAACAAAAACTATTCTTCCTTCTTTTCCATAAGAAACTTAGGCAAAATACCCAGAATGTGAGATTTCTGCATGGGATATAATTTCTGACTCCCACAGCTTAAAAATGGCTCATTCAGACCTTCAGGTGAATTGTTTGTCTGCTAGTAAAAAACTTATGGTAGCATGGTGAGGAGCCCTTTTGTAAAAAACAATGTGCAAGGACAAAGATGGCTACACAATCTTGATTGCTGGAGATGAAAAAAAGTCCAGCATTTATTCTAGCCAATAATTTGCTTGCATTCTTCCAAAGAAATGAGTTTTCAGCAATCAAGGAGTAAGAGAAAACCTCACACAGCTATGACAGAACTCATTATATGAACTCAATCAGATGTGATGAACCTTTCAGGATTAACTCTTCTCAAAAACAGAAACATAAATGAAAATGCACTAACCTTTTTTCTCAGACAATCTTCTCTTCTTGGTAGTTGGTTTAAAAACAAAGCAGCCCTGGAAAACAGCAAAAAAACCCCAAACAGACTTCAATACAAACATCAATCTGACTGGCTCCAGAGGCCACTTCATTGTCCTTTTATTTCAGTGCTCCATTAAACCAATAATTTGCACTGAATTGCCAGCCTCTTAAGAATATCAAGTTACATATTGCCCCTTTATATTTCTGTTTCAAATTGGAACACTAGTGGAAGCAGTAACCCAGCACACTTGTTAGGAATTTTTTCATCTTTCCACTATGTTTTGCAATTCAACCATCAACTGGGCCAGTAGCAGATTTTTAAAATTTCTCAAAACCTCCAACAGGTTTAGAATTAAAAGGAAATTATTCCCTGGGGACACATCAGTACAGTTTTCTCAGGACAGCTTCAGTTAAAAACAAAACAAAAGGCAAGAGGCTGAGATGAATGGAAAACACAATCCAGAATAACGCAATGAGTATTATTAAATCACTTATAAAAAGAAATGACATGCCCAAGCCACAGTGAACTGCATCCCAACGCAAAAAAAGTAGATGGTTAGAATCAGAATGACAAATGTTTGGGAGAGGTTCATATAAAACCCTCTGTTCCAAGGAATTCCTGTACAGAGAAGTCATCTCCCAGTCAGACCTATTTTATCACACAAGTATTAGGCTTTGAGTTCTTGAAGATTTTTTTCATTTTCTTCTAGAAAATCTGAAATTTCTTCCTCAATCCTTTCTACAGAAGCTCATCTCTTTTGAAGAATTGCAAAGATTTCCTATATATTAGAAATCACATGCACTGCCCAACTCTCACTATGAATTTCTTGTCCTGCTGCAAGGGGGAAGGAAACACCTAAGTGCTGGAAATAGACTGATTCAATCCCATATTTCTAAATGGAGATGCTTACACAAGGATTTACTGAACTCAGCCTAGAATAGTTCAGCCACTACAGTAAGAATGATGTAGTGAAAATCAAACACCAGAGGTATGTTCAATTTTGCTCACAGTCACCAGTCTGTCGAGTGACTTCAGACACATTATTTCCTTTCTCACACAAATAAGAAATTGCAGTAAAACACCAACATTTACATTGACCCTCTCTGAAAAACAGCCTCAGGAACTGGAGATGCTTTCAGATACATTCAATTTTACCACGTATATTAAGGACCATTTAAAAACAGTTGGACAAAAGTAGTGGTTATTGTACAAGTGCTAAACATTCTGGAACAATTCCACTGCAAAAAGGTGTCCTACAGATTTATTTGTGCTGCTGTGTGCACAAATGGAATTGGTCACAGAAAGTATAAATCGTGTACACAAAAGGAGAATGGATGCTTAATCAAACCAAACACAAATACTGCTGAATGCTTTGCAAACAATGGCTTTTCCACACCACTGCATGTGGCTGAGACTGGAATAGAAAACTGCAAAAAACTATTATATATAAAATGTGGGAGGCAAGGTGAGGGGACATGATTCACTGCCAAACTATCAGGCAACAGCCATTGTCAAAAGTGAAATCCACCTGTTTCACATTAAGTTTTAAGTTTGTTTGGAAGCACTTCACTTCTGGAAGTAATAACCTGCACAATGCCTTCCACACCAAAGGACGCAGCTGCTTATCAAAACTCAGTGAAAAACAATGGAAGGGGGCAGGAGTCTTCCCGTGATGATAAACACACGCTGTGAAGAACTGCTGCTGTTCACTGTATGATCAAGCAAGAGAGGAAATAAGTTAAATGTTTCAATGCAACATTTCAATCTCGCTATTCATTGACACTCTGATGAATGCACTATCCCTACCGCCCACCCTGAACACAGCTCACATAAAAGTTCTCAATTCGGAAACATGAAGGCAATAACAGGCATTTAAAGTTACATGTGGGAGACTTTTAGTTCTATTAGTTTTGGGGCGGAGGAGTGGGTGGGTGAAGCAATGAGTGTGGCAGCAACCAGTGCCACCAGACTTCATCTGGAAGCGACAAAGCCCACAGCCACAGCACCCTTGGCTCTGTTCTGGGCGAAATTTACTCTAAGTCGGAATGGGTTTTGTTGTGGCAAGAAGGCAGCGGGCAGGTGACACTGCGGGGTCACTCAGCCCTCACGGTGTGACTCTAGGGCAGCCCTGTGCAGGGATAAGAGCTGGACTCGATGGTCCTTGCGGTTCCTTCCAACCCAGGATACTCCGTGATTCTGTGGGACTGCGGCGAGGGCAAACAGCGCCTTGGGCGAAGCGAGGCCGGGCATGGATGACGAGCCAGCAAGGCTTTGGGAAGGGGCGGGCAGCGGAACAGGACAACCGGGAGCCTGGGCACCAGGGAGGCGGGAAAGGCAGCGGCTGAAGGAGGCGGGAGGAGGAGCGGGCGCAGAACACGGCGGACGATGCCGCGGGTCCAGCTCCCGCACAGGCCGCGCTGTTCCCTGGGGAGCCCTCCCCGCTCTCTCCCGCTCCTCACCTTGGATACGGAACACGTGCTCATGCTGCCCCGCGCCCGCCGCTACCAGAGAGCAGCAGGAGGAGGAGGAGGAGGAGGAGGAGCAGTTCCCGCGTAGGCGCCCTCCCGACGCACCGCGCTCCCGACGCGCCGCCCACCTCCCTGCGCGTCCCCGCGCAGCTCCCCTCCCTTCCCTGAACAGTGGTACGGCCCCCTCTGCCCTGAGCCCCGCGATTCCTCCACCCCCAGCGCAACCAATGGTCTCCTCCCCCTGTAAGCTGAGAATGGTACGGCCCAGCCCGCCCCTGGGCGGGCAGAAAGGAGCGGGGCGGGGGGGAGAAGGGTCGGCCGTGGAGCTTCCGCCGGGCAGTGTAGCTATGGCAGCAGGTTCCTTCCGGAGGAGCATTGCTTCCCAGGTACGCTCCGCTCCTTCCCATGGCTGGCGCGGAGCGGGAGCGCCCCTTGAACCAGATGTCCCCTCCATGCCCTCACACCGGGTCCCCCCTGCCCGGGCGGCCCACAGTGGGCGCGACCCTGTGCCGCGGTCTCGGCGCGCGCTGTCCCGCCCCGCCCCTGCCCGGGGCGCGCTTTGGGGTTTCCCGCGGGATTAGGATGGAGTGCGGGAGGAATGGCTGCCATCCCTGGAAACGTTCCGGGCCAGAGTGGATGGGGCTCTGGGCAGCCTGGCCTGCTGTGGAAGGTGTCCTGTCCCTGTACATGGCAGGGCTTGGAACGAGAAGATCTTTAAGGTCCCTACTAATCCAAACCATTCTGTCATTCCATGTCTACTTCAGTCCATAATGGGTTCGATGGGATCCTTCATGAGAAAAAAAAAAAAAAATCAACTCTGGTGTTTTGCCTTGCCTTTTTTCTAAGGCTCCTTTAACATATCTTAGGTTTGTATTTTATTATATTGTTCATAATAGTTATGAAATCTTTACTTTTTTTTACATGGACTGAAACTAGATTTCAGATATAAAAGCTGCATTCCCCGTGGGTATTTAAACGGGGAGCAGTATTTTTTCTTGGACCTTTGTCTCTTTGCTTAAGTCAATTTTTTTTTATTTATTTTCAATTTAGCTTTCAAAAGTTTTGGATCTGCCGCCAGAGAATCTAATAAAGTCCATATCCGCAGTTCCTGTCTCCAAAAAACGGTAGTTGTTTACATTTTATCTTACAGTGCTGGTCATGTTTTATTATTTTATGTCATGCTTATTACTGCAAAAGCTTAACAAGACTTTAGGGAAAAAACAGAAAACCCCAAACCTTTTATACCAATGTAATTATAAGATAGTTTAATTGAATTAAATCCTTGTGTTTTTTCAAGAAAGCTCAAAGTAAATATAATTGCTTACAAGGCTGTACAAATTAATGGCAGTGCATGGATGGCAAATGCTTCAACACTGGTGATCTGAATGTGAAACTGCTTAGAGCCAATGCGAAGTTACATGGGATTTTTTTTTCAGTGTCCTGCTCAGGAGTTGCAGTAATGTTAGCAAATACATTTTACTCATTCATGAGCATAGTTTTTGTTTATTCTGAGGTGGTGTTCTCACCATATCTGCTTTCTGATCGTATTAGTGCAAAGGTGATATTTGGCTTTCTAGTCCAGCTTTCTAAATATAATGACTCCAGATATTTGTGACTGGGTTATGATTGGCAATTACACTTGTCATATGCAGAGTCAGCTTGGATCTGCCACGTTTCCCCAGCATTTCAGCAGGTTTTCTCCCTGATTTTCATATGTTGTGGGTTTTTTTTTCAGGCACGTTGCTGATTTCCAGGTCTCCATCGCTTCCGTGATAGAAAACAGTTCTAGTGATTGCTCAGCACAAGACCTGCATCTTCAAGCTCAGCAGCTTGCTGAAAGGGTATGCCAATGAACTCATCATATATTTATGTAATAATGAACTTGCAGACTAGAGGTGTAAGGGGCATAATAAGATAAAAAAGGACTCTTTCTTCAGGCATCTCTTTGGGTCAAAGTAGTTTGATGACTGTACTTGCTGTAATTGTACACAGCATCTTCACAGGGAATTGGAGAAGCAGCTTCAGTTAAGGTTCTTGTGAAATTGTTATTTGCAAACAGTTTAAAGTAAATAGTGCTGGTGAAGTTAGGTGAGTGTCTAAAGGGTTGCCCAGCACTTGAGGAAGAAATTGAATGTGTGGTAGCTTGGAAAACCAAAGACTGCAAAACCCAGTTCTGGTGATGCAATAGATAAAGTTGGCTTGTGGGACAGGTAGGCCTAACTTTCAAATCCTTTCCTGTTTCAAATTAAGTTTTCTTGGAACAGCAGTTTTTTCAGTTGTGCTAGTTTGGGAGATGGCAGCAGCTGGGGTGTTAATACTGAAAAAACGACAAGTGAAACCAGTTAAAATACTACTGAGGACTTAAACTATTTCTCACGTCATTCTTCACTGCTGAAGTATTGAAGTTATCCATGTCTTGGGCCTGTTCTAGTAAGATAAATATTCTGACTCGGGTGGAAGAAGAGCTAATGATGCGCAGATATACAACAGAAAGTTCTGAAACAACTGAAAGATGATCTAGAAACATGAAATAATTCATGTTGGGAAGGACCTCTGGAAGTTATCTATTCTCATATCCTCTCCAGTGCAGCTGTTTTGGATGAAGTTGCTGAGGACTTTTGAAATCCAATGAGGTGTTAAAAGCCTCCAAGGATTTGACAGTCTCTCTCTCACTCTGTTTCAGTGACTGTATCATCACAGTAACTAGTTTTATTTTTTTCCTTGTGTGTCATTTTAAAAACAGCTGCTATTCCCAGTGTTTAAGAAGCTGCAAGTTTCCTCCCTTCTTAATCGTTTGTGGCTCAGTAAATAATCCTGAAACATTTATCCCTACAGCTTTACATGGAGGAGCAATTCTAACAGTAAAGAAGAATAGACCATCAATAGACTCCCAAACTAAATAGACCATGCCAGTTAGACAAAGGAGAATAAAAATCCATCATCTCTAGGGAATGGGTTTTTTTGTTGAATAAATGAAATGTATTTATTTTGTTGAATAAATAAGATACACAAGTTCAACTTGTTTAGATTGGTGTGTCATCTCCAAAGAAGTGTATAAACTAGCAAAATATAACCATGTATCAAAAAGTAGCAGAGAGACAGAAAAATGCAGGCAGTTGCCAGTTTTTGTCATGATAAACGGTTCATGGGGTGCCTTAAGGTTCAACAGAATGCTCTTAGTCTCTTCTGAGGAAATGGGCCACAATGTTTGAAATACAGGTATTTAGGTTGGACAAAAAGAGAAATTTTTCCAGTTGACTAAAATAGCCTAAATAACAAGGCAGCAATGAAGCAATGTGCTCTCAAGTATTGAAAATTGTCTGTCAGAAAGGTCAGAAGGGTCTTGTTTCCATGGGCTTTTGATTTCATTTGTCTGGCTGATTCTTGTTTTATTTTTGTATTGTTAGTTCTTTGTGGAGGGGACACTGTGTTGGGTTTTTTAGTGCTTCTGTACTGCACAATGGCATCCTAGTCCAAGCCTTGGGCACAAAGGCTTACCTGTTCAGTAAAGGACCACAGGGCACTTGGGGAAGAGGTTGTTAAAGCTGTGGAGAGGACAAATGAGCACTCTTATTAAAGAGAAATAAAAACTACTGACAAGACAAATGACAGATAATGTAGAAAACATTTATCAGAACAAATGTTGTGGAGAAAGTCCAGTGGGTTTGTTTCCTCTCTGCCCCATAAGTAGAAAGGACCATTTGTAAAACAGTAAGGTGGAAGATTCAGTGTCAACACAATAAATGGTTTTTTTCCCATAGCTTGTGAGTTAGCATTGGAATTTGTTATTATCAGAGCTTGTGAAAATAAAAGAATTTCAAAGCTAGCTATGATTTCTCCTGGTTAGGTCACTGTCTTAAGCTGGAGACTTAGCATGGGGCTACAATTTGCTCTTCATGGTGATGAGCTTCAGTAGGAATGCACAGCTTGCCTCTCTTAGATACCGAGCCAGTGAGAAGGTGATTGTGTCATATTTTTATATGCTTTCCATCCCTCTTTTTCCTTTCTTTCAGACAACTTTTTGACTATGAAAGACAGCTAGTTTAATAAGAAACTCTCAAACGTGACAGGTTGAGGTCTAAACCTCTTGGCCTGTGAAGAGACCCAAATTTGTGTTGACATTAGGTGTTGGTTGGCCAAATACACCTTATGGGTTCA